AGGGGGACCATCAGATAGTTGGGGTTTAGGGTTTAGGGTTTAGGGTACCCTACATAGTGGGATCCTTACGTCTTAGGACCCCCCCCCACAAAAGGTACCCTGATTTCGGAAACTCCCATACAAGGTCTGGGTGTGCGAACGGTGAGAACTGTCATTTCTGCCACCTTCGTCATACGAAGAAGTGGGGAACCCGGACTGGATGTCGACTCGACACCCGAAACCTGGACCCTAAAGAAACTACCTTTTTTAGGGCTCCTTCTTCTGATTTCTTTAACTAAGTCCCAAAAAAAAGTAGGCTGTTTGGGGTTTAGGTAAGCCTTCAACTCTGGGGTGGCCTCATTACCGGATTGTGGGTTTGACTTGAGACTTGAGGCCAACCCAGAAGTTCCTAAGTATCTGTATGCGAGATGCTTACCCATACCATAATACTTGAAAATTCAGTGGTTCCTACTATAGACACCGAAATTTGTATTCTGTACGTACTTATACGCCCTTTCGGCAATAAAGGCTTCAGAAAGTTGGTTTTGCTTTGGAGCCTTTGCCGCTGAGGGTCCTGTTTCTTGGCGTAGGCTGTAGCAGCCTGGTTGGCCCTAGGCTTCATGCTGATGTTTGGGTTCGTGGCTGGCTTTCGGAATTTTTGCTTGGAACCCTTAAACCGGAGGCTAAACGAGCTACGACCCCAAGCGCCCAAAACCCAAAGCCAAAACCCTCAAACATAATCTTCCTAACCGTGCCCTCATAAATCCCTGTAAGTCCTATACAACCCGATACAAAAACCTAAACCCTAAACCGTGCCCCCATAAATCCTTGAAAGTCCTATACAATCCGATAAACAACTAAACCCTAAACCGTGCCACCATAAATCCCTGCACGTCTTATACAATCCGATAAAACACCTAAACCCTAAACCGTGCCCCCATAAATCCCTGAAAGTCCTATACAATCAAACCTTAAACCGTGCCCTAAACCGTGCCCCCATAAATCCCTGTAAGTCTTATACAATCCGACAAAAAAACCTAAACTCTAAACCGTGCCCCCCATAAATCCTTGAAAGTCCTATACAATCCGATAAAAACCTAAACCCTAAACCGTGCCCCCATAAATCCCTGCACGTCTTATACAACCCGATAAAACACCTAAACCCTAAACCGTGCCCCCATAAATCCCTGTAAGCCCTATACAATCAAACCTTAAACCGTGCCCTAAACCGTGCCCCCATAAATCCCTGTAAGTCTTATACAATCCGATAAAAAACCTAAACCCTAAACCCTGCCCGCATAAATCCGTGTAAGTCCTATACAATCCGATTTAAAAAACATGCCCCAAAAAAAAAGCCCAAACGCCCAAGCCCAAAGCCTCTCTCTTGAGAAGCGACCCCAAAGATACTTAGTGGCTCAGTAGCTAACCTTTAACCTCTTGGGGCTTATATAGTCCTACCATAGTTGAACGGGTTAACCTTTTGTTGGGCTAGGGTACTCGGCCCCTAACCCTAAGGCTCCATGTATCCATATAGTAGATACTTAGGCCATAAGGTACCTATTTAGGGACCGCTTTAAGGCCTAAGTATCTACTATATGGGTATATGGAGCCTTTGGGGAAGGATACCTCCTTCCCTGAAGATTTTCGTCCCTGGTATTTAGGGTGCCATCTTCAGAGTTGACTATATAGGGCCCTAAAAAAATACCTATACTATTATTTCGAGGGCTCCTTATTGTGATTAAATAAATAAATATAAATAAATAAATAAATAAATAAATAAATAAATATATATATATATATATATATATTGAGAGAGCCGTGGAATGCTTATCATTGACTGATAAGAGGTCGGTCAGGTTCTGCACCAAACCTGAATATGGTTCGGTCATGAACAACTTCAATGGGTGACACGGCTCAGTGCATGAAGGTCTAATTATCGGAGCCGGCTCAATCCAGAAACGATATGGTCTAGTGTAAAAAGGCTTTATTCTAGGATCCGGCTCGGTCCATAAGTGCCTGCTTCTTCGATACGGTTCAGTCTGTTACGGACTTGTCCTTTCCCTTGTGTTGTCTAAAGTAATAAACAGATCGACAG